ACAATGAATATAATATTCATATTCGATTTCTTGAAGGAATATTATTAAATAGAGAAAAATTCATTTCATTTATGAAAAAATAGTTTAATACTAATAGAAAAATCTTTTTAAGTACTCTCAAGTATTTCAAAAGTGAATATTTATTCTATTAATATTGAAAATACTTCAACGTAGCTTTTCTTTTTTGAGAATGACATTATCAATAAAAGTCATATAGATCGATTTCAATAGAATTCATATATCTTATTAGTCTAATGTACTTATATTTAAGTATCGTTTCGATTTCCATTATTGAATTACTAATTTAATAATATCTTACTTTATTTTCCTTTAGTTGTTTTACAGTTCGTACAGCATCAAACCATTTAGCTTTCGATGATGATAATAATATATTTGGTTTATCATTTTGATTTTCAATATCATCTTCTGTTGTTTCATGTTGATTTTGATTACTACTTATTGAAAAATGACGACGACCATATTCATCACTTTCAGGATGAATATAAGAATTATTACCAGTACCACTTGGACTAAAATAAAAACAAACAAAAAAAATCAAAATCAGTTTTATTTCAATAGAAAAAAGAAAAAAATGTTAATCAATTCTATCAAAAACAATTCTAGCTAATTGTTTCGAATGTTTTAAAACAAATGCATGCATATAACTATTAGTACATTCAATAATATCTCCGTTAGGATAGATTTCTTTCATTTGTTTCGCAATTTCATTTGGTACCCAATGATCATTAGTACCATAATAGAATGTTAATTTGTTTAAAAAACGTTTTATTATTTCATCATTACGTTTTTTAACAACAGACATTTCTTCATTTGCCATTTGTAAAAGATTTTTTATAGCTAATGGATTTAATAAATCATACAGAACTGTATCAATTAAAATTTCACGATCATTCAGTGGCGATTGAGAAAAATAGTAAGAAATTATTTTTCTTTTTAACCAATCAAATGGTAATAATATATTCGCAATAAAGCATAAAAATGGTAATAGATAAATTAATATTGGATATAATCGTATAAAACGTTGTCCTGCATCACTTTCACCCATACGTTCAATTGTTGGAAAGAGAAGAAATGCACGATTAAGTTTATTTTCAAGTTTATCAAGCATATTTAAAACCATATATGCTCCTATTGAATGTCCAATTAAAATCAATTGATGATTGGGATTATTTGGTACTAATTGTTTTATAGCTTGTAATTTATGTTCGATTTGTTCATTTAATGTAAAACAATGTTTCAATGGTGGACTATGTCCTGCTTGGGATATAACCAATATTGAAATATTTTCATTGAATAAATTATAAAGTTCATGGGCAAATGGAATATAAAAACCACCAAGACCAGGATTACCAGGAATAATGACTATTGTTTTTGATGATAACGATTGATTACCTAATTGATATGTATGTGTTGATATTCCATTTATATTTAGGATTTCTTGTTTTGTTTCCATTGTTAAACGATATATAGACAAAAAAATCTAAAACTTATCTTAAGAAATCAATATTTCTGCGCATTTCTTTTACAATTACGATTTTGTTATATATATATATATGAAATTTCTAATAAGGATTAGGAAATATATTAGTACTCTTTGATCTTATTATAGAAAAAAAAATGAAAATTAGAAATAGATTATATGTTTATTATTTTGCTTTTTTTTCTCTCTCTCTCGACATGATCTCATTCTAAGCTCTCGGAAATTTTATTAATATAACAGAAATTCTAAACATACAGTTCGTTTCGGCTTACTAGCCTAGGGATAAATCTATTCATCTTTGCTTTTATATAATGACGATACTTTTTGTTAAATAAGAAATGACAGTTTTCTTTTCTATATACTGTTGATAGAGCTCTTAGGAAAAACAAAAACTATGTTCAATGATCCGGTAAATTTTTTTTGTTGCTTCTTCGTCTTCTACAAAATGAAAAATATCGTCTGTTATTCTTTTAAGTAGTTCACAGATAAATATAAATCAAATGTGAATGTTGCAAAGATTATCGTTTTATAATATTGGAATACAAAAGTAGTGATATCAACTATAAATATTTCAGTTGATACACGTGCCATATTGTATCCGTAGAAGAGATTCGAACATATGACCTGACATAACTCGTTGAAATTAAACGATCCAACCAAATATTTTGAAATCAACCGTTGAAAAGAAATTATTTAACCGTAAATATTTGATAGAGACTCAGAAAGAGAAAGTCAATCATCTGATATAGATATGAATGCAAATAAATTCTAGATGCGTGTGTTTATAATAGAACGGAAATAAAGAATAATTCAATGGGAGCAAAAAAAAACAGTGAGCTAGACAAGAGTAACTAAATAAATTTTTTGAAAAAATAAAATACTTAGTTAAATTATTCTGTTCCTCTCTTTTTCTTTTTTCACTCACATAATTTTTTTGACAGATTGCATTACATTTCGATACCATAAAACAACAGATGCAAAATCAAAATTTTCATCCTGATTTGGATATGTACCAGGATAATAAACAGGAATTTCATCATCAACAATATTATTCGTATTTTCTTGATCATAATTTTCTTCTTTTTCTTTATTTATACTCGAAAGACTTGCAGGATGCGATATTGGTAATGTTTGATTTCTATATGCATAATCATGTTGTCTATGTACATAAGGTGAATAATGTGTTCCACGTTGTTGTAATGATATTAATTTTGCATGAATTTGTTCATCAATTGATGTTGAATTCATCGCTTCGGATATTTGTTGATGTGCAAGATATGTTGGATAAGTATTTTCATTAATATATTGTTGTTGTGGAACATCAGCATAATTCATTTGACCACTTGAATGATATGGATTATGATAAAAGGAATTATCATTTGATTCATCATCAGTTTCATCATCATCATCGTTTGATGAAGACGAAAGCGGTTTTTTCTTATGATTTTGTTGCTGTTGTTGTTGTTGACGGAAAAAACGCGATGGTATCATTGAATGACGGTAAGAAACAGAAGGGGAAGTATTGGCAAGTGTATCACGCAACCATCCGAACATACTGAACCAGGACAAGAAGCACCACAAGCACGCTTTATCGTTGTTCTCGTTCTCGTTTTCCTCTATCAGTAATACACATGCAAAAAGAAAAACGACAGAAACTTTTCTTCACGCGATTCAACACAGCAGTCTCGTCATCATCGTTCTATATCCTGTCCTCTGTCCTTTCGGCAATAATATGGAAGAAGAAGAAGAAGGAGAAGAAGAAGAAGAAGAAGAAGAACAGGGGAGGGTGAGAATGTGTATTTGCTCATTAATAAATTAGAAAAACGACATTGATTTTTCCGTTCTGTAGTTCTCTCTCTCTCTCTGTCTGTCTCCCTTTTTCTCTTTGGTTATTTTGACGAGCAATGTTACTCAAATCTTTTTCTTCTATAATTTCTTTTTTCCTTTTGTTTTTTGCTTTTCTATTCAAATATTTTAGACAAAAAAAAATGACTCGTCTCGTTCTTCAATTTGTCTTTTTAATATATTATGACTGCGAGTGAGATCATGTCTCTCTCTCTGTCTTCTCTTTGCCATATATAACTATAAACTGACATCTCTTTCTTTTGATATATATAAGTATTTACATTGATAAATCGATCGATTCATAAAGTATTAAAATTACTCAAAAAAAAAAATTTCAATCATTTTGTTTTCTCTTACATAAAAATGTTTCTAATGGATTCAATATGACGATACATTAAAATCGTTTGTCTATTCAGAACAGGGAAACACAGAAAAAAAAGCAAGGGAACTTTATTGACATTCATCACTACGTGACGATTATTATATAGCAAACGTTTCATTATACTATCAAACTATGCTCACTTGCTAATTCTAATCTAAGCACGTTATTACAGAATAAATAGACAAAAAAAAAAACATTGTAATATGACATTTCTCGTCTAATAACAACTAACAATACAAAAATAAATGTTGTTTTTTGTTAAATTGTTCCGGTGAGCATAGTTTTACCAAATATTATTATTTATAATTTCTCTTTGCATTGCAAAACATGCAAATTTACTCTTGAATCTATAAATTATTAGCTATTTCATATATATATATATTAATATTAGCAAAAGATAACCAACATATTTCTCTCTTTCTCTCTCTCTTTTGTATATTAATTCAATTATAATTATATTAAAAAAAGAATTTTCTTCAATTAAATTTATATTAGAAAAAAACACATGCAAAATTAATGTGCAAAGATTATTCTTTTATTCTTTTGTGAGAAAAATAAATCTAAATGAGTTTTTTTTTATTATTATTATTTGTATACATGCATCATGAGCAGCAAACTTATTTTACCTGAATTATTTTTGTACTTTTTCTCTTCTAATTATGATATACAAGACAAGACAACATTGACAAAAATAAATAAAAAATAAAATTTAACTTACGGTTGTTGTTGTTGTTCATTTAAAAATGTTGTCGGCATTCTTCTTGATTGACTAACATATGAAAGTGGCTCTTGTTGTGATAATGAACTTGTTTTTTCTACTTGATTTATATTTGATCGTCGAGATGAATCACGAATAATTGGTTGGACAAATGCTGATGGTTTTTTAGTTAGTACTACCGGAGATGAATTTTCATTTGATTGGGACATTAATGGAACTGGATAGTTTACATTTGCTTGAGCATTTATTGGATATGATACATCGGATGTATAATCACTATCATCCGAAACTAAATAATAAAATAATTCATTATTTTATATTTTTAATTCATAAAGACTTACAATGTGAATGAGAATGATGATTTGGTTGTCCATAATGAAGTGGATACTAAATAAATCAAATCTCTAACTACTATTCTTAAAACAAAGTTTCATATATGAATTTCGATTTTATTAGTTTTAAATATTTCAATTAATTCTTTTCTCCTATTTAGTGTATGATCTATTTTATATATTTTAAAAGCTGTAAATTGAATTAGAAAGTTCCTTCCGGTTTTTCTCTTACACGGTAGAATCTATTGAGTTGTAATACTTCCTATGAATATTATAGTTAAATAGAGGTACAAGATAATGTTGTGATTTTCTTCTACTATGAACTGAGTTAAAACAAAGTATTTACAAACAACGCGAGACAAAAATAAGGTAAATATTATAATAAGAAAATTCATTCGATTCTTTCTTGGACAAGTTCTAGAAATAAATTTTTTGTTTTTGTAATTTAATCGTTTTCAGACTACAAAAAAACGATAGTTGATATTTTTTTTAAGTACGCAATAGTAAGAAAAAATTAATCTTTTACTACTGATTTTATGAAACATATGGTAATATTCTCTTTTATTTGTGATGAAACCTGATAGATATGTCAAATCAGTAAGATATATAAAATAATTTAGTTGATTTTTATGTCTGAGATATTTTGTCTATATGTATTCTGTCATGTCAAAATAGTTCGATTAGATATTATTACTGTTATTCTAATATTAAATCTTAAAAAGAAGTTTTTACCTGTAGAAAAAAATTTACAAACCATTGGTCTATCATTGAGAATGGAAAAAACTAAATCTCATTTTATTTTTAGATAAGTGCTCTCTATAGATAGGCGATTATTTTATTGATAAATAAATCTATTAAAATTCTTTTCCTAACATAGATATCAAACAAAACAATCTGTCTCGAAATAAAATTTGTTAATAGGAAGAAAAAAAAGCATTTCCATTCTTTTTTTTTCTAGAATGTGAAACGTATGATTTTATATTTTTTAAGACAGTAATGTTTACTATTCTATACAGAGCAGAAAAATAAAGAAATGTTGTCAAAAATTTTGATCTATTATTCATAAGAGTTAGATATATACCCAAAATTTGTTTTTATTAATTATAAATTATATATGTTGTGTTATCGAGAAAAATCTTCAAAATGGAACTACTCATCAGTTCCAAAACTCTTTTAATCGACTTTTGCGTGACATACATGAATATATTCGTGTTTGGTATTTAGTAGGATTATTCCTCTACTTAAATTTTTTTACAGATGAAAAAATATTGTTTTTTTATAATTCAGTAGATAAGAGAGTTTTTCTGTACTTAGACAAAAAAAACACTCAAACGATTTAGATGTATGTGTCAATTAAGTGCTAAATATGTCTTTTAAAGAGTGATGCAATCATTCTTCTATAAGATCTACTGTCAACTTATATTTCTTTTCCATACTACACTTAAAATAAATTATAGGTCGATCTTTTTTAAGTATAAGATAATTCAATAGATTATATAATTCATGTTTGATGAAAATACTCGAAGAGAAAATTTTCTAACAAATAATGAACCAATATTTGTTTTTCAGTATTAACATAGCCCCTTATTTCAATAATAGAAAAAATTCAAGGGAATAAAATTATTTATTCTTACTAGAATAAAAGACTGGATATTTCATTTCTTTTTTTCTAATCTATTTAAAAACTTTTATTCTAATTAAATTTTATGTATTTACTATTATAACAGAAAAGTTTTTTTTTGTTTATATCATGATAGATTACACAAGGTTGTCTATATGGGTACGAATATAAGAATTTTGTAGATAAATATACTCTTTAGTATTTTAATCATATGGATTTGATTTCCGTTGTGAAAGATTAACCAAAAAAAATAGTTTCTCCTATTTTCTGGAATGAAGAAAAAAACATTTATTATTCATCGAATTGCCAGAAGTAAAATCGATCTATTATATCTAATATTTACCTTATGTCTACGAAAATTAATATTAGAAAGAAAAAATCGCTTACATTGATCATTTAATCTTGCCAAAAGAAATTCTTCTATAAAGTTGTTTTATTTTTTTGTGTTTCTTTATTTGACTCTTTAGTTCTAATGTATTCAATTAAGAAAATGCAAACGACACATATTCTTTTCCATTTTTTACACATTAATTATTAAATATGTCAGTTAACTATTTTCTTTTAAGAAAATCAAATAAAAAAAATGAAAAAAAAATGACGTTTTCTTCACACGCAATACTACTGTTGATTGACTCACATATACAGACGATAAATAGGATTTTTTCTCAATCAATCAAAAAAAAATACTTACAGGTTGATCAGTTGGCATAGTAGAAAGTGAATTAAGTTCATCAAATGTAACATCCTGTAATTGAAGACCCTAGGAAAAAAATATATTTAGTAAACTTAAACATATGATGATCATCAAGACAATGTGTTCTATTTAAGATAGAGATTGATATGCGTGTGTCAATATAATGTGATTAGTTTTCTTTTATTTTTTATTTATCTGACTTCATTCTCTCTTCCTGTATTCGAATAAATAAAAAATAAAGAAATAATGATGATTATTGTTAAGATTCAATGTTTTCTTCGTTTTCCTTTATTTTATTTTTTTGTGTTTTTATTGTTATATATCTATTCATTCTGTTGGATGACACCGGCATATGGTTAGTAAGCTCAATTGACTTATATAAAATAAAAAAGTCATTTGAAAGACATGAGAACGACAAAACTCATGGGAATAGAAATAATAAGAAGCATAATAAACTAGTGAATATATTTACTTCTTTATCAAGAATACCATAAAGAATTTCAAGTTTTTCACTTAATTCTTTGGATTCTTCATCAGTTAAATCTGATGGTAATTCAACATAAGTACGAATTAATATTGAATGTCCGGTTGGATGACATGTTCGTGTGACTTGTCCTTGACGATTTAATATTAATTCAGCATCTAATGTTATCCATCTTTCATGAGCACTTGATAGATCTGTATTTAATTGTTCATCATTACGATCTAAACGTATATGATATAATCCAAGAAGTTTATCCCAAAATTGACCACGTTCCCATAATTCAATTTGAAGTCCAGCTGAACGATCTGGTACATCACTTAAATACGAAAAAAATAAAATAATTCTTCTGAGAATCTATTTTCTGTTTTGTTTCTTTTTTGTTAATAATGTCAGTCAAAATTAAAAAGCAATTCATTTCGTATTTCTATTTCCGGAAGTTTTGACAGAAGGTAGTTTATCAAAAAAACAAATGATATATGTTCTTTTGTATATAGAAAAAGAATTTTACGGAGTTTGATTGAATAATAAGTAGAGATTATTTATTACTGTTGAAGAATATATTCCTTCTCAGACTTTTTTGTCTTGTCGTGCAACGGCTCAAAAGTAATAATGATATAGTCAACTATATCAAAGACTCTTTAAACTTTTGTAAGTAAAACTGTATATGATATTATTCAAAATCAATAGAAATTTTGAATTATTCTAAGACAAAACAAAAAGTACAACATATATCCTTACAAATAAAATTCTTGTTCCCAACTTGGTGTTGAACCTTTGACGACAGTTGTTGTTGATTTAACGTTATCAATTTTAAGTACAACATATGAACAACATTCATCTAAATGATATAGAGGATATTAATAATTATTATTTTCTTAACAATAACTAACTGTCGGATAATTGGATTTTTGCGCTTTTAACTAAGACACAAAGTAGAAGTGATGATGAAGATGTTGATGATGACATGAATATGTTTAATCATTCAGAATATTATATGTTTTTGACAAATCGATACGAAGAATACTTTTTTTTGACAATAGAAATTTACCAGTAATCATGCTTCATTGATTAAAAATAATGAGGAATTGAATTCAATTCGTGCATATCTAAATTGAGAATGAAAAATATATGCTTTGTTTTGTTTTCTATTCTTTTCTGATCAAACAACTATGTTATCAAGCTCAGAAGAAAATGTCACAGTACTGGAGAAAAAAAAAGATTCGATAAAACTAATCCTATTTGTTGCTTCTGATATAATATTGTTGTTGTTGTCCTGTCATCTCCTAGAATTCTTATTAGTAGAAATATTTATCCATTGAAAAAATTTGAAATATATTTTACAAATTATTTTTATTTTCATACATCGAACTATAGATATAAAAAGATCCATTTCAATACCGTTTTTCTTTTCTTTTTTTTGTTTTTAGCGACATCTATTCATTAAATGAATAATAATTTAATTATTTAAATAATTTTCTCATCATTTCTTTTATTAGTTCTAATTTAATTTCGCAAAAAAAAATCCTTTTTTCCTAATCGTTATCATTCGATTGCTTTTCAATTATAGTCCAGTCCAATAAATAGATATATATGTAATTACTGCAATATTATTTGTCTCATAAACGAAATTCAACTATCGTTGAAATACGTTTTATTCAATTTTCTATGTAATAAACAATGGGACATTCCAAACATAAAAAACATCATCATCGTCATCGAAGTAAAGATAAAAGTGATGATGATGATCGTAAACAACACCGATCTCGTCGATCTCCATCATCTGATCGTAGTTCATCAACAAGTGATGAAGAAGAATATCGTGAAAAACCAATTTCAACTAAAGGTAAAACAATGGAAGAAATCGAAGAAGAACGTCAAATTATGAAAAATGAAAGACGGTAAAAAAGAAATTATTTATTTTCTCAATTATTTATTAATGAAATTCAATTCTTTAGACGACAACGTGAAGTTCGAAAAGTTTATGAAACACCACATGAAAAACGACAACGACGTTTAGCAAAAAAACTTGAAAAAGAACGTAGACAAAAAGCAGCACTTGGTTGGGATAGTGAACATTTGGTATGATGAATCATTGTCTTTTATTTATTTTTATTTATTTTTGTAATAGGGTATGACAAATGCAAATAATCCATTTGGTGATGAAAGATTACTTGAAACGTTTGTTTGGGGAAAAAAATTACAGAAAAAAGGTTTATCTGATGTTCCACCTGAACATTTAAAAGTGATGACAGCACAACGTGTTGAAGAAAATAAAGTAAAATTTACAAAACTTTTCTTTTGTGTTTTAAATAACATTTTTCTTTTGATATTTAGGTTGAATTAGAAAAATTGAAAAAACAAAGATTAGAACGTGAACGACAAAAAGCAGAAATGGAAACAGAAAAAGAATTTTTACAAAGAGTTAAAGAAGCTGAATATTATCGTGAATGGGAAAAACAAGAAGATTCATTTCATTTTAATCAAGTTCGTCTTCGATCAAAAATTCGTATATCTGATGGTCGAGCTAAACCAATTGATCTTCTTGCTCATTATATCAATGAAGATGATGATGATTTAGCTGTTGAAATGCATGAACCATCAACATATTTAAATGGTCTTACTATTCGTGATCTTGAAGATTTAATAGCTGATATTCGTGTTTATACTGAATTAGAACAACAACAAAAATCAGGAGGAAAATCAAATCATTATGATGCACAATATTGGCAAGATATTACAACAATAACAGAAGATGAATTAGCTAAATTAAGAAAATTATCTTCACGATTATATCATGATCAAAGAATTGATGATAGACGAGAAGGTATTCATGAAGCTGTTTCACATGATGTTATAGAAACTTTTAAAAATAAAACACCACAACAATTGGAACAACTAGAACAACGAATTAGGTCAAAAATCGACAATGAAACAGGTATTGATATTGGTTATTGGGAATCTTTATTATCTCAATTGCAAGCACATATGGCACGTGCACGTCTTCATGATCGTCATCAATTGACATTAAAAAGAAAATTACAAAAAATTAAACAAGAACAAGGTATATTTCATGCACCCATATCAAGTTCATCAACAATGTCATCAACTTCAACAATACCAAAAAAGAAAAAAGATAATGAAAATAATTCATTAGATACATACAATGATAATGAAATTGAATCATTCGAAAATTTAGAAATTAAATGTTTCTATGAATATGAACAAAGTCGTTATTCACCAATATTAGTTAATGTCAATGATCTCGATTTAGAAATTCAAAAACGTTGTACAGATGAAACAGATGATTGGGAAAAATTAAAACAACAACGTGAATCTGTAATTAAATCTGGATCTGTTAAACCTGATGTTGAAGATGCATTTGAAGCATATGCTAGAAGTATGGGCAGTTTAACAACTGATGATGCAGATGTTAATACAGTTGTACCAATGGATGTTCAATATTTATGGTCTGATAAATATCGACCACGGAAACCTCGTGTTTTTAATAAAGTTCATACGGTATATATAGATATATATTTTATAAAATATAAATTAAAACAAAATTTTCTTCTAGGGTTACGATTGGAATCAATATAATAAAAAACATTATGATACAGATAATCCACCACCAAAAACAGTTCAAGGATATAAATTTAATGTAAGTTTAATTGTAATCGAATATTAAAATAAAATATTAATATTTTTCTTTTTATAGATCTTTTATCCTGATTTAATTGATAAAACTAAAACACCATCCTATAGTCTTGTAAGTAAATTTTATTTTAATTAATATATATTTGAATTGTTCTATTTATTTAGACTGTTTGTGAGGATAATCGCGATTTTTCAATTTTAAAATTTCATGCTGGACCACCATATGAAGATATTGCATTTAAAATTGTTAGCAAAGAATGGGATTATTCATATAAACATGGATTTCGATGTCATTTTCAAAATGGTATATTTCAATTATGGTTTCATTTTCGTAAATGGAAATATCGTCGATAAACATTTTATTTCATTTCATTTCTTTGTTTTTTGTGCTATTGTTATGTCCTTATGTGAAATATATATTCTTGTATGTCTCTAATCTTTGATTATATTTCAGATAGAAATATAAAAATGGTTTGTGTACCATGTATTTTTGTCGGCTTAGCTATTGTTATTTGGTGTAAATATCTTGAACCTTATGTTAAACCAATTTATGAACGACTTTGTCAATATTATCCACCATTGAGAGTAGTAGGAAATCAAATGGGTGTTTGGGCAGGTAAGGTTGAAAAATTTGGAGAAAAAATTGGTATTCGTATGCCACAATCATGTCCAATCCCAAAGAAAAATAAAGATGCTGCAAAAGTAAGATAAAAATGAAATTAATTTTATTTATCACAAATTATCAATTTGATTTTTAGTGTCCAGTTGCTGGTAATAATAAATTATATCCTGATTTAAAAACAGCAACAACAACTGATGATATGGATGTTCATCAACGACCAGTACCATCAGCACCTTCTCATGAATGAATGAAAAAAAACAATCATTATTCAACAAAAAACAATAAACTTTAATATTATTTATACTTTTTTTTCTTCTCCTTTCGGTCTATTATTTAATGTTTAATCGGGCATTCTATCTAATTGTTGTTGTTCAATCTCTGAAAAAAAAAGTCAAAGATTTTCTATAGTCTCTATATAATATTTTTTAAATTAAACTTTGCTTTTATCAAGTCATCAGATTCAAAGTATTATACTAGATAACACGTTGTTCCTTTGAAAAAGAGAAGGCATTTCGGTCGTTTTTATTTTTATATTTAACAAAAGTAAACATTCAATCAATAGTTTGATCTTAGTTGATCTGATTTGAATAATCAATAAAACAAAATTCTTTCGTTTCACTTACAGCCTTTATTGATTTTATTTCAATGCAATAGATTGAATTCTCTCTGTTATTGAAGGAAACACAAAAAAAAACATTGTAAAAGTTTATGTGTCATTCTCTTTGGGTGTGGGTGTGTGGACGTGGATGTAAATGTGAGTGTGGGTGTGGATTGAGAATAAAGATAATCGAAGCTATACCCACCCCGCACCCATCCACACCCTATATTTGACAACCCCCGATATTTCTACCATTCGATGTTTTTACGTTCGACATTTTTACTTTCGATCAAAGTAGAGTGAATCGCTATCCCTAGAAACTTTAACTTGCGCTGCCTATGGGTAAAGCGCTGTTGATCAAATGACTTTTCGTTGAATGAAAGATTCGACGAATGTCGAAAGATATTCCGTCGACAGATATTTCGTCGAAGGATATTTTGGTGAGAGATATTTCGTCGAAAGTTACTAGAAGTAGTGACACTTATTTTCTATTCTTTCATAGTCTATATATATAGATTACAGAAGAATAAATAGAAAGTGATACTATTCTAATAACTTTCGACGAAATATCTCTCGACGAACAGTCCATTCGACGAAAATTCTTTCAACATTCGACGAATCGTCTGTTTGACGAAAAGTCATTCGACCAACGCCTACTTCCCCAAAATAATTAAACAGTTGCTCAGCGAAGAGAAGACATGAATGATTCAGTAAACCAAATCGTTTTAGGGTGTCGATGGATGTGAGTATCTATCATCTCATAAGCCACCCATACTAACCCCACCGCACCCTAGTCACACCCACACTCCACCCACACCCTGGCATAGTCTCAGGTCGAAATACCGTCGTTCGATCTATTTATACACACCATGCCATAGGCTAAAATTTCAGTGTATTGCCTATAACTCGAAACACGAGGCCTATGGGCCCTTATCCTTTTTTGAGTTTTTCATAACTCACTAGGATCTACTTAATGCACAGGACCCGAACTTCAAAGCGATCCGACAGTTGGGGAGGTTCCCTCGTGAGTTTTTGAGGGTGAGTGTGAATATTATATTTATCCCCTTCAAGTACCCACACTCACATTCACACCTACATCCACACCCTCAAGATAAAATCTCGTGATAATAGTTGTATCTATTCTTTTACATGTTCTTAATAATTGATTTATAAAGTATTTTATAGAAATGAAATTTTCTTTATAAAAAAATGATAATCAGAATGAAAAGAAAAAAAGAGTATTTCTAATAACACAATACATTTGTTACTTTGAATAATATTATGAAGATTAAATCACAGAAGAAAAAAAGAAATGCCTCCACGCAGGATCGAACTGCGGACCTCCAGTTTACTAGACTGGCGCTCTACCACTGAGCCATAGAGGCATGTTGACCTTAATTTTTTCTATCTATTTTTTATAAAATGTAATATAAAATCGAACAGATCTGTATTTATATATAATCGACATTATGATATATAAAATAAATGAGTCAGAAGTGACTACGCCGACAAGTTTTTTTAGTAAACCTCTCTATTCTAGTTCTAGGGTAACATAATTCTTGTTGTTTTCTTCTTTGAGTTTCGCAATGTTAATATTTTTTATTCGTAATTTCATGTCTTTATGAAAGTATAATGCTTCTTTGAAAAAGTATACATGAGACAAAAAGATTTCCAAAAACTAGGAAAAATACCAGAAAAAAAGTTAAATATTAGACAAAGAGTGTAACGATCAATATTTATTTGAGTCCATGGAAATGTATTACATTTTTAACTAATTGATGAGCTATGCTTCGATTTTTGAGTTTAAATAGTTTTGAAATATGTGTATACTTGAAGGACAAAAATTGAATGCATCTCAAACATATGAGGACACAAAATAAAAGTCAAATATCAGAAATATTCTAATTTTTCCTATGCCTACCACATGTGAATGTCGTATAGCTCGACGTTTAATCGATTTTATTTTATAATTAAAATGATGAGTATAAACTGGATGTAATCCCACAGTCCCATATATGACGTGATGACCCATGTAGCGCTAATATACTCAGATCAACTTTCGAAAGTCGAAAGTGATTCAAGGATCAATAGTTACAGTATTCTCATCTTCGTGGAGCCAATATCGACCAAAAAACGATTGTATCACATACTTCATGTTAACTCCTTTGTTATAAATATTTATGTTATGATTGATATAATTCGAAACAAATGCTGTGGGACGATTTATTCTAATTAAATAATCAATGTAACATAAACTGAATCAAGCTAAAAGTGTATATTTACTTTTCAAATAACACCTTCATATGGCAGTAGGAGTTAATTATAAATAATGACTTCGCAATTTCATCTTCTTCTGATGCTGCTGTTTTTTTCATAATCCTGATGATTTTTGATCCAGTCCGATATTAGTTGAATAATATTTTGCAAATGAGAATCGTCTGGTTCAAAGGAATGGTGTTTGAATCATTAACACATTCATCACGAACATTTGGATTGTGAATTTTTCTACACGAAATAAATGACGTTTGATCTATAAAATAAATAAATAGATAATGCATCGAATAATACAAATGTGAGCTCACGTATATTAATATTCAGAATTTATTCAGTGGATGTTTCCCTGATGATAAATCTGAACTAAAATAAAAAAATCGATTATATTAATGAAAACAAATTTAAAAGTATTTATTGAATAGACATTTGATAATCATTATCATCGAGCGTTATATAGTTGCATAAAGTTGTTACTTTATCTTTATTCTTCATTTAAAGAAGAATAAAAATAAAGTAACACTTCCGATAGCCCAATCAAACTCTATAAAAGTAGTAAAAGTATCTAGGCAGTTTAGCATCGTACAAACCATCTATATCAGCAACATCTAATAGCAAATAGTCTGAATCGATTTAGATATTACTCTGTTAATGATCAATAAAATATCTTATTAGAAAAGATGAATCAGCTGATTTTGTTTTTGTAGATATATATGAGTGCATCAGTTTCTACGTTTTCTCGCTTGTCAAACTACTATCATATCCGCAAATTGAACTACAAAAAATATTAGCAATGAGTTGACCACACAGCTTTCTCTACCAATAGATAGATGAATAAGAGAACTAAGACATTGAAAAGTAATTACCTTCTTCTAAACGCTTAAAGTTAAATGAAAATAAAAGTTTATCAAAATCAACATCTTCACCAACATTAATATATTTAACAACGCCCAGTGAACAAGATTCTTGTCCTGGCCCATCAATAATCAAACAATTTGTGTCATTAACACCTTATCAACCTGATTCAAAATTTCCAACAGTTGATTATCTTCACAGCTAGAATATAATGTGACATATGATTGTATATTTTGTTTTGTTTGTCGTTTATCGCATGGGATTGAAAAAATTGATATTTGACTTACTATAACTAGATTTGAACTTCATCAGTCTTCTATTGTGCACAGCAAAGCGTTACCAACATGAGAAAATACGGAGAAAAAAACTATAATAATAATAATGATTCTGATGTTTTTAAAATTAATAGACAGGCAAAATAGAAAAATAAGCTGTAGAAAATCGAACATACCTAATTGAAATCATCAGAACGATTATACTTTTAAGTGAACAAAGTATGGCACGTAACTTGTTTAGATAATGATTTAATAAAGAAATAGTAACTGAATTTTTAAATGAATGTCGTCATACGAAATATTTAATCTCTGTAATGATTGATGACGCAAAAGATATTACAATATGTTGATAAAAAGTTTAATGTTTATGAAAACTTCTTTTGATTTTGAACGTACGGCTATATTGACTGGAGAAGCATTAGTTGAATTTGAAATTAGAAAAATCAGTTGATTAATGTTACTGTACCGTCAGATTGAGTTGTATTGCTTCTAATATGATATTAAACTTATGATAATAAATATAAGTTTGATTCAAAGCACTGTATTCATCTAACACCCACACCCATCCATCAAATTCATCGGCTATGAGTAGATTGTCCGTGTCTTTATCTTCTTGTTCTTATTCATTTTCATTATTTTCTTCATGTTCTTGATGCAGATCACACCCTTTATCTTGAATTTCATCTTCTTCTTCATTATTCTGGCATGTATCATTTTAAAATCTATCACTATCACCAAGATTATTGTCGGTTGATGAAGAATTTCATGCTTGATCACGATAATGTTTCAACTAGCGCATATCACATCTTGCACTTCTAATTGAAGTAGTAAAAGCTCATCGCATATCGCTCATGATGAAATTTAAATTGTTATGAAGAGTTCGAACATAAACCAAAAAGACGGTAACCAATAAGAGAGTATAGAGAAACTCACGATAAATGTTGTTTAAAGAAGTCGAAACAGTTTTAGTGAAGATAGTCGAGGAGTTCAACCGGCAACTGTTACCGTAGCTATTTCATCAAGAGCAAGAGCATCTCCAATCTTTTTCAATATTCTTCCGTCGCCTTTGAATTGACCATTATTGCTCATAATATCGTATAACTCTTTTAGCCATTCGGTGACGACAGCATTCGGTCGTAGTAAATAAAAAGTAATATATGACCTACCATTGTCAATTTAACGAGAAAAAGATGTGAAATAGATCAGTTGAACCATCTTGAGGGTGTGAATATTCTTTTACATGTTACT